AGGTGTCGTGCATTAGCATTTACTCCACCGGCCTCGCTCCGTTCCCACGGCTCTCGGCCCCGCCCCTCTTGTCACACATACATACTAAGAATTGGCATTTTTCAAAAATAGTGTATTTGAATATTTGGGCCCATAAAAAATGAATATTCGAATATTTGTTTATTTAAATGACGTTTAATGAAAAAGACGGTTATTTTTTTATCAAGTTTTTGTCACCATTTCTGAAGCTTATGATTAGGCGTTATACACAATGTTCTACAACAACTTTACGTTATATCTCAAGGTTTTCTTTTAGTTTAAAAACGTGTGTAAACGAAAAACGAACAAATATATATATATATATATATAAAAAGAACAAAAGCATTCAAGCTCAAGCAGAGCAAACGGAAAAAAATAAAGCAGACAGTGCCAATTACAGTACAGAACGTATTCACTCGAGTTGACCTGTGTTTATTGTGTTTATATTGTCTCACATCATGTTAATGTTGAGAAAAACAATAATATCCACATGAAAGTTGGCTCCTCAGTCTGATAACAGTAAGAATGCGCGCCGGCACAGATGTTCCAGAGACACAAAGATAACGGTGTGCTAAGCAAAGTTTCTTTCATCACTTTGTGTTTTCTTCCCTTCCGTGCCTCAGCAGCGGCGGGGCCTGAATCGCGGGGAGCAGACGGCTGCCCCTCTTTCCTCGAAAAAAGAGACAAACGAGAGCGGAGCTTTTTCCCTTGGAAAAAACGCTAGCAGTGCACACCGATTGCCCCCTCGGAGGCACCGTGTGCGTGCTCTTCGCCCAAACAAATAACGCATAGATCGTGTGTGTCATCAGATGTTAAACAACGTCAACACGGATGCACACATCCTTAAACGCTTTACTAGTAGTGCTCGCCATAATGAGATGAATAGAGATCGCTCTTACCACAGAAATGCACGCTTCAAACAAAACAGTCAATGAAGACGAAGAAGAGAATGATGTGTGCTCCCGGCGCCTATTTATACTATAGTCGCACCGGTAGTGACGTCATGGCTGTCGCCGGCCAACGAGTTGGTGTTTTTTCAATGTATGCTTCAGACACGGGTCACGACGAGGCGTTCCCCATAGCGACCCCTAGAGGACGCAGTTCGAAGTTCCCATGAAAGGGAACTAACCTTTGGTGATTTGGTGCCAAATTAAGTCATGTTATCCAAAAGGAGTGGTATATCAGGATGTGACGGGTGTTGATGATTGTGTGTTTTCTCTTTGTAGGGTGAGTGAACTCCTGCAGGGTGGAGCTGTAATGAATAAGAGTTTTCAGCCCCATGAAGCTCATATTCCCTTCCTGCTGCAGCTCTTTATCGATTACAACCTCTACGGCATGAACATGATCAGTCTTGCTGCTGTTAAGTTTCGAAAAAGCCATGCAACAGGTAACACACACAGGCACACACATAAACAAGAAGTAGCCTTGACACAATATCACAATACAAGTAATTGTTCATAGTAATGATATATGACCCATGCTGGCGAAATGAGTCACAATGAGTACATTTTCAAAAATGAGTTATTGTTGTTTTCACATTCTCTATTTCAATCGAGTCAGCAAAGTCAATTTTGAGAAAAATCTAGTTAAGGTTTTCTGAAGGTTCCAAAACTAAATCAACTAGCAACCATACCTCAACTAGCAACCATAAAATCTCTGGTAATACCACCAAATTCGACACACCAAGTCAAAACCCATATCTATAGGAAAAATATATGTTCAGCTTTCTTTTTCCATGATACCACAACCACAATGGGGCGTTGTGACCAATCACAGAAGCCGTTATTGCGACTAAAGGTGTCAGTCTTTACTTGCCTCACAATTAGTTTCGATTACGATTCAGAGGGTAACGATTCGAATTTATAAAACTATTCTCGATGCATCACGAAATACAAAGGATCTTTTCCTCCAATTCTTTTCTTAATAATATTTACAATATTAATCATAATATAGTTATTTTTGTTATTTTTGCTGGAACTATTGGCTATCGGCAAAAATCCATGCCGATAGTTTTTCTGGCCTGCATCCGTTGCTGGAGCGGCTGAAGGCTCCGCTGTCATTATAGGGCATTCACTAAATTCCAGGAGTTTCATTACCATGACGTAAAATGGGCGTTTCTAGAGGTGTTGGGAAAACGCCCCCTTTCCAAAAAAAAAAATCAAGAGGTCACCGACCATGCACAGAATGCTGTTTTTTTTTTTTTTGCCGGGCATTTCCGATCAGCTCCGATGGATAATGAATATAAAAAGCGTCTGCGATTGATAATGAAGGACAAAACAGTCATACAGGTTATTTTTATGTTTTATAATCTTACATTTAAACGACTTTTGAAAACAAATAAACAACCATAAAAATGTAAAACATGCAGTAACGTCAGTTGTGAATGTAATCTGACACGAAGTCTGCAATCAGGACAGGTATTTGAATTTATAACAGTATGAATGTAATCTGACATAAAACACCTGCGATCAGGACAGGTATCTGAAGGTATACTGTATATAATATAAAAGGTATTTGACACGAAACACCTGTGATCAGGACAGGTATCTGAAGTTACTGTATATTATGACAAAGGTATCTGACATGAAACACCTGGGATCAGGACAGTTATCTGACGTTATAACAGTATGAATGTAATCTGACATGAAACACCTGCGATCAGGACAGGTATCTGAAGTTACTGTATATAATATAAAAGGTATTTGACACGAAACACCTGTGATCAGGACAGGTATCTGAAGTTACTGTATATAATATAAAAGGTATTTGACATGAAACACCTGTGATCAGAACAGGTATCTGAAGTTATAACAGTATGAATGTAATCTGACATGAAACACCTGGGATCAGGACAGGTATCTGAAGTTACTGTATATAATATAAAAGGTATTTGACACGAAACACCTGTGATCAGGACAGGTATCTGAAGTTACTGTATATAAT